GAAATCATCTTTTCTGAAACCATGTCAATCTCTTCAATTGTCGGTCCTTCTTTAGGACTAATAGTAATTTCTTCTTTAAATGTTTCAGTTTCCAACACTTCATCACTAACAGAAATATCGACATCTTCAATTTCACTTGTGGAAACGTCTTCTGTTCCAATATCTTTATCAGAAACTGTGACCTCTGCGTTTATAGTTTCGTCCGTTGTCTCATTTGCAAAGGTGAACTGGATCTCATCTGGAACTGGCTTTTTCTTTGGAGCTATGGTTATCTCATCTTTGTGAAGCTCAGTTTTTGTGACTTCATCAAGAGTTTCCTCTGGTTCAATGACAATCTCCTCTTTATGTGTCCCAGTCTCCTGAACATCCAGCTCAGAAATCTTTTCTTCTGGTCTATCTGACTTGACAGAAATGTCCAACTGAACTTCTTCAGTGTCTGGTTTCTCTTTAGGAGATATAACAATCTCTTCTTTATGAATCTCAGTTTCAGACACGGTCTCTTCAGGAGCTTCAGAATCAATTGTGATCTCTTCTTTGAAGGTTTCTTCAACTTCTGGTTGAGTCTCTTCAGGACGTTCAGAAGTAATTGTGATCTCTTCTTTGTATGTTTCCTCAATATCTGGTTGAACCTCCACAGTTTCACGAGTTTCCTCGATGACCTCGTCAGTTGGTCTTCCAACTTCAACAACTATTTCTTTAGGTTTATCTTCTTTTGGAATTTCTCTGTCAACTTCCTCAGTAATGACTGGTGTCTGAATTGTTTCTTTTGTTTCTTCAACAATTTCTTGAGAAGGAGCCATGATTTCAACCTCAGTAGTTTCCGAGGGTTTGTCTTCTTCAGGGACCTCTTCTTGATCAACTGTAATCTGTTCAGTAACAGTTTCTGTAATTGTCTCTTCAGTGACGACTTGAGCATCTTCAGGAATAGTCAACTGGATCTCCTCTGGAACTGGTTTCTCCTTTGGAGCTATGGTTATCTCCTCTTTGTGAAGCTCAGTTTCTGTCACTTTATCAGGAGTTTCCTCTGTTTCAATGACAATCTCCTCTTTATGTGTCTCAGTCTCCTGAATATCCAGCTCAGAAATCTCTTCTTCTGGTTTATCTGACTTGACAGAAATGTCCAACTGCACTTCTTCAGTGTCTGGTTTCTCTTTGGGAGATATAACAATCTCTTCTCTATGAATCTCAGTCTCAGACACGGTCTCTTCAGGAGCTTCAGAATCAATCGTGATCTCTTCTTTGAAGGTTTCCTCAGTCTCTGGTTGAATCTCTTCGGGTTCTTCAGAGGTAATTGTAACCTCGTCTTTGAAGGTTTCCTCAACCTCTGGTTGAATCTCTTCGGGTTCTTCAGGAGCAATAGTGACCTCTTCTTTGAAGGTTTCTTCAACCTCTGGTTGAGTTTCTTCAGGACCTTCAGTGGTAATTGTGACCTCTTCTTTGAAGGTTTCTTCAACTTCAGGCTTAATCTCTTCAGGGCCTTCAGAAACTATTGTGATCTCTTCTTTGAAGGTTTCTTCAACTTCTGGTTGAGTCTCTTCAGGACCTTCAGAGGTAATTGTAACCTCTTCTTTGAATGTTTCTTCAACTTCAGGCTTAATCTCTTCAGTGCCTTCAGAAACTATTGTGATCTCTTCTTTGAATGTTTCTTCAACTTCTGGTTGAGTCTCTTCAGGACCTTCAGAAGCAACAGTGACATCTTCTTTGAAGGTTTCCTCAACTTCTGGTTGAGCTTCCACTGTTTCTCGAGTTTCCTCGATGATTTCGTCAGTTGGTCTTCCAACTTCAACAACTATTTCTTTAGGTTTATCTTCTTTTGGAATTTCTCTGTCAACTTCCTCAGTAATGACTGATTTCTGAATTGTTTCTTTTGTTTCTTCAACAATTTCTTGAGAAGGAGCCATGATTTCAACCTCAGTAGTTTCCGAGGGTTTGTCTTCCTCAGGGACCTCTTTTTGATCAACTGTAATTTGTTCAGTAACAGTTTCTGTAATTGTCTCTTCAGTGACGACTTGAGTATCTTCAGGAATAGTCAACTGAATCTCCTCTGGAACTGGTTTCTCCTTTGGAGCTATGGTTACCTCCTCTTTGTGAAGCTCAGTTTCTGTGACTTCATCAGGAGTTTCCTCGCTTTCAATGACAATCTCCTCTTTATGTGTCTCAGTCTCCTGAACATCCAGCTCAGAAATCTCTTCTTCTGGTTTATCTGACTTGACAGAAATGTCCAACTGAACTTCTTCAGTGTCTGGTTTCTCTTTGGGAGATATAACAATCTCTTCTTTATGAATCTCAGTTTCAGACACGGTCTCTTCAGGACCTTCAGAATCAATTGTGATCTCTTCTTTGAACGTTTCCTCAGTCTCTGGTTGAATCTCTTCGGGACCTTCAGAGGTAATTGTAACCTCTTCTCTGAAGGTTTCTTCAACTTCAGGCTTAATCTCTTCAGGGCCTTCAGAAATTATTGTGATCTCTTCTTTGTAGGTTTCTTCAACTTCTGGTTGCGTCTCTTCAGGACCTTCAGACGTAATTGTAACCTCTTCTTTGAAAGTTTCTTCAACTTCTGGTTGAGTCTCTTCGGGACCTTCAGGAGCAACAGTGACCTCTTCTTTGAAGGTTTCTTCAACCTCTGGTTGAGTCTCTTCAGGACCTTCAGAGGTAATTGTAACCTCTTCTTTGAAGGTTTCCTCAACCTCTGGTTGAATGTCTTCGGGTTCTTCGGGAGCAACAGTGACCTCTTCTTTGAAGGTTTCTCCAACATCTGGTTGAGTCTCTTTAGGACCTTCAGTGGTAATTATAACCTCTTCTTTGGAGGTTTCTTCAACTTCAGGCTGAATCTCTTCGGGTCCTTCAGAAACTATTGTGATCTCTTCTTTGAAGGTTTCTTCAACTTCTGGTTGAGTCTCTTCAGGGCCTTCAGAAACTATTGTGATCTCTTCTTTGATGGTTTCTTCAACTTCTGGTTGAGTCTCTTCAGGACCTTCAGAAGCAACAGTGACATCTTCTTTGAAGATTTCCTCAACTTCTGGATGAGCTTCCACTGTTTCTCGAGTTTCCTCGATGATTTCGTCAGTTGGTCTTCCAACTTCAACAACTATTTCTTTAGGTTTATCTTCTGTTGGAATTTCTCTGTCAACTTCCTCAGTAATGACTGATTTCTGAATTGTTTCTTTTGTTTCTTCAACAATTTCTTGAGAAGGAGCCATGATTTCAACCTCAGTAGTTTCCGAGGGTTTGTCTTCTTCAGGGACCTCTTCTTGATCAACTGTAATCTGTTCAGTAACAGTTTCTGTAATTGTCTCTTCAGTGACGACTTGAGCATCTTCAGGAATAGTCAACTGGATATCCTCTGGAACTGGTTTCTCCTTTGGAGCTATGGTTATCTCCTCTTTGTGAAGCTCAGTTTCTGTCACTTTATCAGGAGTTTCCTCTGGTTCAATGACAATCTCCTCTTTATGTGTCTCAGTCTCCTGAACATCCAGTTCAGAAATCTCTTCTTCTGGTTTATCTGACTTGACAGAAATGTCCAACTGAACTTCTTCAGTGTCTGGTTTCTCTTTGGGAGATATAACAATCTCTTCTTTATGAATCTCAGTTTCAGACACGATCTCTTCAGGAGCTTCAGATTCAATTGTGATCTCTTCTTTGAAGGTTTCCTCAGTCTCTGGTTGAGTCTCTTCAGGACCTTCAGAGGTAATTGTAACCTCTTCTTTGAAGGTTTCCTCAACCTCTGGTTGAATCTCTTCGGGTTCTTCAGGAGCAACAGTGACCTCTTCTTTGAAGGTTTCTTCAACCTCTGGTTGAGTTTCTTCAGGACCTTCAGAGGTAATTGTAACCTCTTCTTGAAAGGTTTCTTCAACTTCAGGCTTAATCTCTCAGGCCTCAGA